GCAGGAGTTCTATGGGGAGGACGCCAAGAAGTCCCGCGACTACGGGAGAATCATTAACTGCCAGCACTTCCAGAGGATCATGGGCCTGATGGAGGGCCAGAAGGTCGCCCACGGAGGCGCCGGGGATGCGGCCACGCGGTACATAGGTGCGTGCGCTGGCCCTCGGGGGCCGCCCGGCTCCCCATGAGCTGGTGGCAGAGTGAGTACGGGGGCTTGATGAGCAGACAGGCCCTGTGGTGGCTGTGAAGCACCTTCACCGTGGCCGCTGGGTTGGCCCCGGGCTCCTGGTGGGCGGGGTCTGGGAAGCCCCTCCCCAGCCTGGAAGCCCCTCTCCCCAGCAGGCCCATAGAGGGGCTTCTCTTCCGCCACACCCCTGCAGCATCCGCAGGGGATGAAGCGGCGGAGACCACGGGAGCCCAGGGGTGCCGGGCTGGAGGAGCCCCAGCCTGGGCTTGGGGGTCAGCAGACGGGGCCCGCTTGGCCCCCAGTTTGCCAGGAGGCTGAAGAGCTCCATGCAGCAGGGCTCGGGGGCTGGCGGGGCGAGTGCCTGCCCCTGAAGTGTGGACCCTGGGCTCCCCTCATGATCTGCCAAGATGGAGCCCAGGCGAGAGGGCCTCATGCCTGCCCCTGGCTGCGCTGTGAAGGAGCTGGAGGAGAAAGCAGATGCCTGGACGTGCCAGCGGGTGGGGTCTCGGGGCTGGCTGACCCGGTTCTTCCCGCCTCAGCCCCCACCATCCTCATGGATGTGGACCCGCAGTCCCAGGTGATGCAGGAGGAGGTCTTCGGGCCCATAATGCCCATCGTGTGTGTGCGCGGCCTGGAGGAGGCCATCCAGTTCATCAACCAGCGCGAGAAGGCCCTGGCCCTCTACGTGTTCTCCCTGAACGACAAGGTGGGCCCGGTGGCCCCTCCAGGGGCCTGGGGCAAACAGGACTGCACTGGGGTGGGGCCTGCTGCTGTGGCCATTTCCCACAAAGTTCTTGATTCTCAGGGGGAGCAGAACACCCAGACTGGGGCTCAGGGGAGCAGACGGAGGCCAGGGCTCTGCGGTCCTTGAGGACCCAGGATGCCCCAGGCAGGGTGGGGAGGGGCTGGGCTGTCCTGGGGCCGGAGACTGAGGTGGGCCACGGGCCGTTGCAGGTGATTAAGAAGATGATCGCAGAGACATCCAGTGGTGGGGTGACAGCCAACGACATCATGGTCCACAGCACCGTGCACTCTCTGCCCTACGGGGGCGTGGGTGAGTCTGGGGCTGAGCTCACTACCTGCTGCCCCCAGCAGGTGCCCCGACCCCTGGGCCGGGAATTGAGGAGGGGCCAGAGCAGCCTTGGGCCTCAGACTCCCCCACCCTCTCCCGACTGGCACGTCCCTCATCCACATGTAACTTTGAGACCCCAGAGGGTTCCCTAAGCTCACCTGGGGCATGGGGCCTGCTTCACGGAGGCCCTGAGAGAGGCCAGAGGGCAGAGGTCACGAGCCATCTAGTGGCAGAGCTGGGACAAAACTTCCTCTGTCATTCCGGGCATGGCTGCCCCGGCAGACACCCCTGGGATTGGAGAAGGGGTGCAGGGTGTTGCCAGGCAGGTCTGGGGCTCGAGGCCCCCGGGCCTGAGCTGGCTCCTCCCGCAGGGAGCAGTGGCATGGGGTCCTACCGCGGATGGGAGAGCTTCAAGACCTTCTCCCACCGCCGCTCCTGCCTGGTGAGGCCTCTGCTGAACGAGGAGTCCCTCAAAGCCAGATACCCACCGAGCCCGGCCAAGGTGAGAGGCGGGCTGGGGCTCCTGGGAGCTGCCGGGCCCGCAGGGCAAAGGCCTCACTGCCCCTCGTGTCCCCTCGCAGATGCCCCGTCACTGAAACTCTGCCGTGGCCTTGCCGAACTGCACCCTCGCCCGCACACCAGCCCTCGAATGCTCGCTCCTGGGTACCCCCTCCTTGCTCTGTGTGCATCAGTGCAGCCCCTGCTCCCATGGCTGGGGCCTAGCCTCCCGGAGCCCCACCCCTGAGCTAGACATAGAGACCAATAAAAGCTTCCAAGCAGCAAAGGAATGTGTGTGTCTTCTGCAGCCCTGCACCCCACTCCCCTCCGCTCCTAGCCCTCTGTCCCCCAAACCGCGCCCCCTATCAGCGGACCAGCAGTAAAGATCTCCCCGAAGGCTCACTTAGCCTCCAGAGCCCCTAGGCTTGGGGACATCAGCTCCATTCGGGAGGGTGCTCGCGGGAGACTTCACTGTGAGAGCATGGCCAGCCCCCAGGCTGCCGGCCCAGGCGCGCCAGCCCCGGCCTCAGGACCCTCCCCGCCCCCCCCATGTCGCTTCCCCCAGCCCCACCTGCTCCAGACCTTCATCCCCATGACCGCCCCTCCTCCATCCTCAGTCCCTTCTGTGCTGGACCGGTCCTAGTCTATCTCACATCTTACTTAACCCCATCCCCCCAGAGCCAAAGGGCAGCCCCCAAAGCCCTTAAGCTGTTAACCTGTGCTTCCTCCCCTCTAGGAGGGGGAGGGGAGGGGGCCAGGTCGAGAGTGAAAGGTTCTGTGTCACAGGATGTCCACCATGTGCCCGTTACTTATTTTGCAAATATCCAACGAATTGGATAAAATCAAAATCTTCTAAAGACCTGCCACCTCTGCCTCATTTCCCTCCCTCCCTCCCAGTGAGAGACCACTCCTCCCTTCCTCGCCCTCTGGGTGAGCCCCATTGCTGGACCCGCTTTCGTCTGGGTGCAGACCCTGTGTGGGCGGGCCCATCTCGGCGTCAGCCACCCCTCCTTCCAGCACCACCCCTCATCTCTGGGCTCCTGGGACCCCAAGCTTCCGTTCCTCTGCATCCCCAGTTCCTTCTCCTCCCAGTGGAAGCCTCTGTGGCCCCATCCCTGAGCTCCTGACTCACGCATTTGTTAGGGGGCAGAGAAGCCCCCTAAAAGGGGGAGAACCCCAAAGAGTGGGTTCTTGTCTTCTGGCCGTGAAGGAATTCACAGCAGAGACAAAGAGGCAGAGTGAAAGCTGCTTTCCTGAACAAAAAAAGGAAAAAAGGGAAAGACGCTTGAGAGGGGCAGATGTGAGCCCAGGCGGCCTGATGTAAGAACTCTCTCTCTGGGGCCCCCCGGCCAGCGGGGTCCTTTCATCTGTCTCCGCTGGTGCGCCTTGTCCTCTTTCCACTGGCTACCTTTTTCCCACTTGCTTTCCAGTTTGTTCTGCTCCGTGGACCCATCACTCTGCAAAAACAAGATCGTGCAACCAGGGACCCTGAACTATGTGGTCCTTCCTCCAGGGTGGCTTTTTCCGTCACTTGAGCTGAAGTGTCCCCTGAGGCCAACTAGACGTGAATTTCAAACAGGTTCATTTTCAAACTTTTAAAGAAATCTCTAGGCGACAGGTCCCTGCCTCCTTGACGTCCAACTGCTGACTTGACACATGAACTCGGCCTCTCCACAGAAACTGAACGCAGCCCAAAGCAGAACCCCTGATTTTCCCCTCGAAGCGATCCCTTTCCAAGGTGGCTTCACCCTCCGGAGACTCGCTCACCAAAACCAGGAGGCATCCTCGACTCCCCTCTTTCCTTCAGCAAGCCCCCCTGGGAGGGCCTGTAGCTGCCACCACCCCCGTGTCCAGATCCGCCTTGTCCCCATCCCCTGCCCTGGTCGAAGCACCAGCAAGTACACTCTTCCCTGAACACCCAGACGACATTCCTAAAACAAAACGCAGACACCCCACTTCAAGGACAAGTGATTAAAAGCAAGAGGCTCCACCCCACCCACCCACCCACCCCGTTGGAAATAAAGGGGTCCCCTCCCCTCCC